GATGCGACTAACCCAACTGCCAGTCCCCCAAAGCACTTTCCCCCCCCCCCCAACTGAGGACTTCTAACTTCTTCCAAGAATTCTCTGAGGCCTCTACTTTAGCATCAGCCACAGGTAGCCCTGGGAATATCTGGGCAGTTTGTTCCAGTAGTTGGGCTAATGGTATTCGGAGGAGCCCTCGGTCAGGAAAGGGCGCCTGTCATTTCATCCTCAGGGCCCAGGACCCTCTCTTCACTGCCATCACTCACCATTCCACCATGTGAGGCAACTTCTCTTTGATGGTCCGGTGTGGGTCGATCTCAATTGGGTAATAGTGGTGAAGGAGTGCCGTGAGCTGTGACATCCAAAGGGGGAGAAAAGTCAGTTGTCCACATTAAGTCTTCCGCAACAAAGTCCCACGGCTCAGCGTGAGAAAAAACCACCTAGATGATGCAACGTCACGTCAGAGAGTAAGCGCCCTTCAAGTTTAGATCTGGTGATGTATCACTTACAAGACTCAAGTTTTTCCTCTTATCACCTTCCAGCCTAATTGTTAACATGCTCACATTTACCGACTTAATAAAAGCCCTGGATGTGCAGAGCTGCCTTTGTACTCGCCCTAACAGAGTGAGGCCCAAGAGTCAGAGCTACAAGGAGCTTCCACTCTCAGATAGGAGAGTCACTAGGACAGTTGTAGCAGCACACTTTCTCAGGGGGTAGGCAAGATGATTTTAGGGGATATAAGAATAAACACTTCTAGGGCGGTCAAGTGGCATAGTGGTTAAGGCACTGGATTCCCACATGGCCAAACGCAGTTGGAGTCCTGAACCTGCTGGCTTAAAATTTACACCAGGTGTATGTGTGTGTGTGCACCCAGAATTCTGGGAGAAGAAAAGACTGTAGTGTGGCCATCCCTCAGCGGGTGATTTCTCACTTTCCCTCTCACTGTCTCTCTTTCCAGTAAGCACATATGTCTTATGGCCAAAACCAAAAAGTAAAAAGATAAACTGAAGAAAGAATAAACACTCTTCATTTTAGTAGTTTGGGATTTTTTATTTTTTTATGCCAGTGGGTGCATTGCTTGCCAGAGAGAGACAAAGACAGAGCGAGGGAGAAGGGAAAAGTACCCCCAACGGTATATGGTCACATTGAAAACCCTTCTCCTCCAATTCTTCATCCTATTGGAATTTCGGGTGTACACACATGTGTGCAGCATCTTTTTCAAGCCTCCAAGGCCAGGATTCAAATTGCACAGTTGGCCTTCCATGTGAGATTGCCTTGCAGTGTTGCATTTTACCATCTGGCTCCTGGACTCACTTTTTTTTTTTTTTTTTGGAATTATTTTATTTAACTTTATTTATTTATTTACTTATTTTAATTTGACCAGAAAGAGATAAGAGATAAAGTGAGAAAGCAAGCCACCAAGTCCAGGACTCGAACTGCGATCGGCCATGTGGGAGTCCAGCACCCTTAACCATCAAACCACCTGCTGGCCCCCCCAACACATTCATTTTAACTTATGTTAGAGAAAGAAAACTAACAGGGACCAGCAGATGGAGTAATGGTTATGTTGCTGGACTTCCACATGGCTGACCACAGTTTGAGTCTTGAACCCGACGGCTTGAAACTCACGCTGGATGGGGACCAGCAGTTGGTATAATGGCTATGTTGCTGGACTCCCATGTAGTCAACTGCTGTTCAAGTCCTGTACCTGGTGGCTTAAAGTCATGCCAGGCACATGCATGTGCATGCCCAAGATCTCGAAAAGAGAAGGGATTGCAGCATGGCCATCCCCCCTGGGGGGTGATTTCTCGCTTTCTGTCTCTCTGTCTCTCTCAATCTTTCTGGCAAACGCACGTGCCCTATAGCAAAAAAAACTCTCAAAAAAAAAAAAAAAAAAAAGAAAGAAAGAAAAAGAAACTCACCCTGGTGCATGTGTGTGCAGGCCCAAAATCCTGAGAGAAGGGAGGAACAGGGATTGTGGTGTAGCCATAGCCCCGGGGAGTGATTTCTTACTTCCTGTCTCTCTGTCTCTCCAGTGAGCCCACACATCCTATAGCAAAAATCTCTCTCTAAAAAAGAAAACTAACGGGGACCAGCAAATGGTAAAATAGCTATGTTGCTGAACTCCCACGTAGTCAACCACAGTTCAAGTCCCAGACCCAGTGGCTTAAAAAAACTCATGCTGAGGGCATGTGTGTGCATGCCCAAAATCCTGAGAGAAGGGAGGAACAGGGATTGTGGTGTAGCCATAGCCCCGGGGAGGGTGTTCTTACTTCCTGTCTCTCTGTCTCTCCAGTGAGCCCACACATCCTATAGCAAAAATCTCTCTTAAAAAAAAATAAGAGGGGCTGGAAGGTGGCATGGTGATTAAGGGCGCTGGATTCCCACATGGCTGACTGTGGTTTGAGTTCTGGATCTGGCGACCTTCTCTGTCTCTCTCTCTCTCCTGTCTCTCTCTCTCTCACTCTGTCCTCTCTGGTTAAATTAAAATAAATAAGTAAAGTTAAATAAAATAGTTATTTTAAAAAAACACTAAAATATGAAATTCATGTTTTTACGGTTTTTTTTCTATTGTACGTTAATCACATTCAGGTTTTTTTTCTATTTTACAGAGAAAAAAAGTGTGCACTTACCAGAGGCGGAAAGACAGAAAATGAGAATCATCCCCCAGGGGGGATGGCCAAGCCACAATCCCTTCTCCACCATTCTCTTAGGATTTTGGGCAAGCATGCATGTGCTCCCAGCGTGAGTTTGTTTGATTTTTTTTTTTTTGGAGAGGTTTTTTGCTATAGGGCGCGTGCACTTGCCAGACAGACAGAGAGAGACATAGAGACAGAAAGCGAAAAATCACCCCCAGGGGGGATGGTCACGCCACAATCCCTTCTCCATTCTCCTCCCAGGATCCTGGGCACGCACGCACACGTGCCCGGCGTGAGTTTTAAGCCACCGGGTCCGGGACGCGAACTGCAGTCGACTACGTGGGAGTCCAGCGACATAGCCATTACGCTAACTGCTGGATCCCGATCCCAGCGTGAGTTTTAAGCCACCAGGCGCAGGACTTGAACCATAGTCAACTACATGGGAGTCCAGTGACATAACCATTATGCCATCTGCTGGTCCAACATTCAGGTTTTTTATTGTTTTTGTTTTTAGGTTTTAGTCATAGGGTGTGTGCAATTGCCAGATAGAGACAGTGAGAGGAAAATGAGAAAACAGCTCCCTGGGGAGATGGCCACACTGCAATCCTGTCTCCATTTTCCTCCTGGCATTTTGGGCGCACACACACACAAGTGTTCAGCATGATTTTTAAGCCTCTGGGCCCATGTCTCAAACCACAGTTGCCCATGTGGTGGGAATCCTCCACCTTAACCACCATGCCACTTGATGGCCCCAATTATGTTCAGATTTATTTTTTGGGGGGAGAGGTTTTTGCTATAGGGTGTGTGTGCTTGTCAAAAAGATAGGAGAAACAGGGAGACAGAAAGCGAGAAATCACCCCCCTGGAGGATGGCCATGCCACAATCCCCTCTTCTCTATTCTCCTCTCGGGATCTTGGGCACGCACATACACGTGCCTGGCTTGAGTTTAAGCCACCGGGCTCAGGACTCGAGCCGCAGTCGACTACATGGAAGTCCAGCAACATAGCCATTATGCCAACTGCTAGTCCCAGATATTTTTTTTGGAGAGATTTTCACTATAGGGCGCGTGCGCTCGCCAGACAGACAGAGACATAGAGACAGAAAGTGAGAAATCACCCCCCCCGGGGGGGATGGTCACGCCGCAATCCCTTCTACATTCTCCCCTTGGGATCTTGGGCACTCACACACACGCGCCTGGCGTGAGTTTTAAATCACTGGGTCTGGGATGCGAACCACGGTCGACTACGTGGGAGTCCAGCAACATAGCCATTACGCTAACTGCTGGTTCCCTCCCAGATTTTTTTTAAAAAGAGACTTTTGCTATAGGGAATGTGTGCTCGCTGGAGACAGAAAGACAGAAAGCAAGAAATCACCCCCCAGGCGAGATGGCCACACCACAGTCCCTTGTCCTCCATTCCCCTCTTGGGATTTTGGGCATGCACACACATATGCCTGGCATGAGTTTTAAGCTGCTGGGTCTGGGACTTGAACTGCGATTGGCCGCGCAGGAGTCTAGCAATGTAACCATTATGCCATCTGCTGATCCATTCATTCAGATTATTTGTTTAAGAATTTTTTTTTAACATTTATTTATTTAAGTTGACCAGAGAAGGACAGAGTGAGAAAGAGAGAGAAAGGGAAAGTGAGAAAGCAAGCTGCCAAGTCCAGGACTTTAACCGCGGTCGGCCATGTGGGAGTCTAGCGCCCCCAACCACCACACAACCTGCCTGCCCCCATTCATTCAAATTTTTAAAGCAGTCAATTTAGGGGCCAGCAGGTGGCATGGTGGTTGAGGACACTGAACTCCCACATGGCTGACTGCACTTCAGATCTTGGACTTGGTGGCTTGCTTTCTCACTTTCCCCCTCTCTCTGTCCCTCTCTAGTCAAATATAAATAAATAAATAAAGTTAAATAAATTTTTTTTTAAAAGCAGTCAATTTAAAGAGGATATTTTGTAATACACACGTATGGCAAAAAACAAAAGAATCTGAGCCAAACAGGGGAGCAACCCACCTCTTTCTGACACTCCTCACTGATGATCCTGCTGTTATCCAGAATATCTGGAAAAAACACAAAAGTCCTTTTACTTAGAAGCTGTCATCTCGTCAAGCGCACAAAGCAAGCTAGTATGTGACTTACTGTAAGAAGAAGGGCATCGCTTTCCATTATATGCAAACCTGCTCAAGGTCATGTCAAAGTCAGAAATCACCTACAAGGCAAAAGAGAGAGGATGCCTCAATAGGCACCTTTAGCACCACCCAGCCTCAGCCTGGGCGATGATTACGGGGGCCAGCCTGTAGGCAAAGCTTGGGGAACTTAGGGAGGAACAGAGAGGGACAGGGAATTAGTGGTCCTGGTTAGCACTTGGGTGGGCTGTGAGAAAAGCCCGGTCTGCTGGGGTCGGGGATGGGGGCTAAAGGCACAGGGTCCCTTTGACTCAGCAGCATCCATCTCTGCCATAGGGTCCTTCCCAAGGTGTCTCATCTTTATTTTTGTTTATTTATTTATTTTTTTAGTTTTTGTTGTCGTTATAGGACGTGTGTGCTACCAGAAAGAGAAAGAGAGAATGAGAGAGGAAAAGTGAGAAATCACTCCCCGGGGGCATGGCTACTCCACAGGCCCTTCTCCTTTCTGTTCTAGGAATTTGGGGCCTGAAGGCACACAACCCGAGCATGATTTTGCGGATACACTTGTCGGAGAGTGAGAGAGACAGTGAGGGGGGAAGTGAGAAATCATCCCCCCTAGGAGAGATGGATATCTGTAATCCCCTCTCCTTCATTCTCCTCCCAGGGTCTTGGGCATGTACATACACACTCCCAGCGTCATTTTCAAGACATGGGTCTGGGACTTGAACCTGGTCAGCCATGTGGGCGCCCAGCAACATAACCGTTATGCCATCTGCTGGCCCTCCAAGCTGGATTTTCAAGCTGCCCAGTACTAGGAGTCCAACCACTCAGTTGGCCATATGGGATCCAGCACCTTAACCTCCCAGTTCATTTATTTCTTCTATGAGAGAGACAACACTCCCCGACAGGGTCCCAGCCCTGGGATCCACCAGCAGCAGCAGCCAGCCCAGATCAGGCAGACATGCAAGTTCCCTGTACTCAGAACAGGGACCCGGAACCTTCCCATTGGGTCAGCCTAGCAGACCGACCCGTTGCACGCTGCACCAGTCTTTCCTGTGTCTCTACCCGATGGCCCATCTCCACATCAGCACCAGGGAGAGCCCACGGCCCGGGGCAGTGCGGAGGACGAGGTCCCAGGCCTGGTGGGGGATGCTTTCTGCCTCATTAGGGGAAGCAGCACGGCCTGAGGAATGTGAAATCTCGGTTTTAGGACAGGTGGGCTCTCCCTCGAGGTCAAACAGGTGACTCAGCCTGCGTGCCGTTTCTTGGGGCGATGGCTTGCAGGTGTGTCTGCCGCAAAGCAAAGCGGGAGGGTACACTGGGCGGGAAACCTCCCCGCCGCACCTGTCTCGACCCCGGTCCCGGCCCGTGTCCGCCCCACCTCGCCCAGGACGTACCTGTAACCGGTCCCCCCCGCCCCTGCGGAGGGCGCCCACCCTCTCCTGCACCCGCCCGGGCTGCCGCATCAGGACAGTGGCCTTCATCAGGATGCTCACCTGCCCCGAGACCCGAGAGAACTGCTGAGCCGGGGCTCGTCTGCACGCCCTGCGAGGCCGGGCAGGGGCGCGCGAAGACTGGCCGGGGTGGCGCGGCGCGGCCTGGGGGCATCGGAGCGCCCCTGGGGTCGGGGCCCGCCCCACGCCGGACGCTTCCTCCCGCCTCACCTCCTCCGCCATAGCGCTCACGTCGTAGTCGGCGGCGCCGGGGACAGGGACCGCCCCGCGGTCGCACTGCGCAGGCGTCGCCTTCTACCGGGGACGACCAAGGCGGGGCCGGAGCGAGGCTCCTGGCGGAGCTGGGAATCGGGTGGCCAAGAGGTGTTGGCGGCTTCGGGAGGCTGGCGCTGTGCGCTGGGTAGAGAAATGCGGGCAGGCTTTTATTGTGAGGAGGAGGGAGAGGGTCCCAAGCTGCTGGGGCTCCATCCTTCCTGGGGCCTTCAGTGGGCTCCTGGCACTCTTCTAAAGCAAAAGCCCTGGCCAGAGTGGCTTGAAGTTTGGGTGACAAACACTTTTCAGATGGAAGGGAACATGAAGGCGCTAGAAAGTGAATTCTGTTCAACAACCAAACTGAGCCCACTCCTCATCACTAAGGAAACAGGAACCAGCACGTCCAAGGGCCTGGAAGACCCTGAACAGCTGGGCTGGGTGACATTTAATCAGCTTCCTTCTCCCTGCTGCCTCATCTGCCTCAGATTTCCTTGAACTGCATGTCTGGGAGCTGAGTGTGTGGTCATGGAAGGTGGATGGATGCTCTAGGGATACAGACCTGGGTGACCCGAAGGGGGCAACGGGATCTGGAATCCATACAAACTCTCAGATGGTGTTGGCCCTCCAAGGCCAGGAGGGAGGTGTGGGGGGTGGGGGAGGAAAGGAGGAAGAGGGCTGGGACAGGAGGGAGTTCCAGAACCTGAGAGCACAATCCTGAGAGTGATCTCACTGCGGGCCCAGCATTCTGGAACTTGGGCTGCCCGATGGACCCTATATGAAAGATGTAGTAGGGAAAAGGAGCGACAGCTGGCTATAGGGCCCCCCCACAACCCTCCCCGACACCCTAGGAGAGCAGCCTCTCTCCGCTGGTCCCAGGGTGCCATGGAGATGGAGAGCACCGCGGCCTCCACACGGTTCCACCAGCCTCACATGGAGAGGAAGATGAGTGCCATGACCTGTGAGATCTTCAACGAGCTTAGGCTAGAGGGCAAGCTCTGCGACGTGGTCATCAAGGTCAATGGTTTTGAGTTCAATGCCCACAAGAACATCCTCTGTAGCTGCAGTTCCTACTTTAGGTATAAAAGGGTTGCCGAACTAGGCCAAAGGGGGAATTGGGCTCATTCTGAAACCTTTTGCTCCATTCTCTGTTTCCCACCCCACCGTAAGAGTAGGTGCACTGATGAAGCTCCGGGCTTCTGCAGCCCGACTCCTTTGTCTTCTGAAAAGGCACAGCTAGGACCAGAGACATTTTTCTCTGATTTTTCAACTGGATTTCAACCAACTCTTGGTGAGCTGGGTGCCTTCTTCCTTGATTCTCACACAAACCAACCTTTGGGAAGGTGGGACATCCCGACTGGATATCTTACTTAAACCCAGATGGCAAGGCTACTTCAGGCACCCGTTTGGTCCCTACCCCAGAAAAGACCATTTTAAACAGGGTGATACATTAATAAGGATTGAGGGAATGGAAAGGGGATGAGGGGAAATTACTCAAGAAATATGTGGGATTTCAAAAATGCGTGGAAATGCATATAAGAAAAAACTATGCATGGGTTTCAGAAACTTTTTAGAGGTGTTGGCGGCTTCGGGAGGCTGGCGCTGTGCGCTGGGTAGAGAAATGCGGGCAGGCTTTTATTGTGAGGAGGAGGGAGAGGGTCCCAAGCTGCTGGGGCTCCATCCTTCCTGGGGCCTTCAGTGGGCTCCTGGCACTCTTCTAAAGCAAAAGCCCTGGCCAGAGTGGCTTGAAGTTTGGGTGACAAACACTTTTCAGATGGAAGGGAACATGAAGGCGCTAGAAAGTGAATTCTGTTCAACAACCAAACTGAGCCCACTCCTCATCACTAAGGAAACAGGAACCAGCACGTCCAAGGGCCTGGAAGACCCTGAACAGCTGGGCTGGGTGACATTTAATCAGCTTCCTTCTCCCTGCTGCCTCATCTGCCTCAGATTTCCTTGAACTGCATGTCTGGGAGCTGAGTGTGTGGTCATGGAAGGTGGATGGATGCTCTAGGGATACAGACCTGGGTGACCCGAAGGGGGCAACGGGATCTGGAATCCATACAAACTCTCAGATGGTGTTGGCCCTCCAAGGCCAGGAGGGAGGTGTGGGGGGTGGGGGAGGAAAGGAGGAAGAGGGCTGGGACAGGAGGGAGTTCCAGAACCTGAGAGCACAATCCTGAGAGTGATCTCACTGCGGGCCCAGCATTCTGGAACTTGGGCTGCCCGATGGACCCTATATGAAAGATGTAGTAGGGAAAAGGAGCGACAGCTGGCTATAGGGCCCCCCCACAACCCTCCCCGACACCCTAGGAGAGCAGCCTCTCTCCGCTGGTCCCAGGGTGCCATGGAGATGGAGAGCACCGCGGCCTCCACACGGTTCCACCAGCCTCACATGGAGAGGAAGATGAGTGCCATGACCTGTGAGATCTTCAACGAGCTTAGGCTAGAGGGCAAGCTCTGCGACGTGGTCATCAAGGTCAATGGTTTTGAGTTCAATGCCCACAAGAACATCCTCTGTAGCTGCAGTTCCTACTTTAGGTATAAAAGGGTTGCCGAACTAGGCCAAAGGGGGAATTGGGCTCATTCTGAAACCTTTTGCTCCATTCTCTGTTTCCCACCCCACCGTAAGAGTAGGTGCACTGATGAAGCTCCGGGCTTCTGCAGCCCGACTCCTTTGTCTTCTGAAAAGGCACAGCTAGGACCAGAGACATTTTTCTCTGATTTTTCAACTGGATTTCAACCAACTCTTGGTGAGCTGGGTGCCTTCTTCCTTGATTCTCACACAAACCAACCTTTGGGAAGGTGGGACATCCCGACTGGATATCTTACTTAAACCCAGATGGCAAGGCTACTTCAGGCACCCGTTTGGTCCCTACCCCAGAAAAGACCATTTTAAACAGGGTGATACATTAATAAGGATTGAGGGAATGGAAAGGGGATGAGGGGAAATTACTCAAGAAATATGTGGGATTTCAAAAATGCGTGGAAATGCATATAAGAAAAAACTATGCATGGGTTTCAGAAACTTTTTTGTACCAAAATAAACTGCTGCTTTCTTTTTAAATTTCCAGAGACCACATCCACTTGCCAGAGAGAGACAAAGAGAGAGGGAGAAAGCACCCCATGACACATGGTCATGCCAAAATCCCTTCTCCATTTCTCCTTCCTTTTGGGATGGATTTTGGACACACACATGCATGGTTTTCAAACCACTTGGTCCTGGACTAGAACCACACAGGTGGCCATGTGGGATCCAGCTCCCTTCACCACCAGGCCATAGGCTGGGCCCTGAACTGGTATTTTAACTCCATTTTTCCCATGAAAATTTTTATTTTATTTATTTTGAGAGATATTTTTGTTATAGGGCATGTGCGCTCACTGGAGAGACAAAGAGAGACAGAAAGTCAGAAAGCGAGGAATCACCCCTGAGGGGATGGCCATGCCACAGTCCCATCTCCATTTTCCTCTCAGGATTTTGGACATGAATGTACACGTGCCCAGTGTGAGGTTTAAGCCACCAGGGTCTGGGACTCATACCGTGGGACTCCAGTGACATAAGCATTATGTCATCTACTGGTCCCTGTGAAAAATTTCAAATCTCCTCATCTTTATCAGAAGAAAAAGCAAGTTTTGGTCAAGAGCACTATAACCCGGGAAAGAGGGGTTATTTTGTTCATGAGCCGAAAATGTTAGAATGATTCATTCCAGCATAGATATGACACGTTGCTAAAAACTCATTCACCTGAAAAGAAAATTTATTCACCTGGACTCTGGAACAGGTGCACAAGGGACCAGATAATGGTATTTTAACCTTTGCAGACCCTACAGTCTTCTGCTGCAACCACTCGGACTGTGCCTTTATACTGCAAAAGCAGCCACAGACAATACCAAATGAATGTACTCCCATAAAGTTATTTATTTATTTAGATTTTTTGCTAGAGGGTGTATGTGCTCACTGGAGACACAGAGAAAGAGAAAGCAAGAACTCACCCCCCAGGAGGGATAGCCATGCTTCAATTCCTTCTCCTCCATTCTCCTCCTGGGATCCTAGACAATCACACACATCACTGACACCAAGGGTGATTTTAAAGCCACTGGGTCCAGGACTTGAACCACAGTTAGTCATGTGGAAGTCCAGCAACGTAACCACTATGCCATCTGCCACCCCCATGAAATTATTTAAGGACACCAAAATTTGAATTTATTATAATGTATTATAATTTTCATACATCACCAAATGTTCTTTTGATTTATTTCTCCCAAATCTTTTTTTTTTTTTTTTTTTGGAGAGGTTTTTGCTATAGGGTACGTGCACTTGCCAGAGAGACAGAGGGATATAGAGAAATAGAAAGCGAGAAATCAAATCTTCCCCCCGGGGAGAAGGCCATGCCACAATCCCTTCTTCTCCATTCTACTCTCGGGATCTTGGGCACACACGCATGCACACGCACCTGGCGTGAGTTTAAGCTACCGGGTCCGGGACTCGAACAGCGGTCAACTACATGGGAGTCCAGTGACATAACTATTACGCTAACTGCTGGTCCCTCTCCCAAATAATTTTAAAATGTAGAAAACATTCTTAACTTGTAGGCTGTACAAAAGCAAGAGGTGGGCTGACTTTGGGCTAAACTTGGGCCAAAGGCCATAGGTTTGCAGATGCCTGCTCTTGAGGAAGAATTTGATCACCAAAAGCCTCTTAGAAACAAGAAACAAAATCTATTAAAACGAAAACTCTGTCTTGATCAACAACACCCAGAAAAGTACCCAGCTGTGTGGAAGGAATCCATTAAATAGTTGTGAAATAATATT